TTTTTTTTTTGTTTTCTGTTTGCTTGGTAGATTTTTCTCCACTCCTTTATTTTAGGCCTATGGATGTCATTGCATGTGAGATGGATCTCTTGAAGACAGCACACCATTGGGTCTTACCTCTTTGTCCAGGTTGCCACTCCATACCTTTTAATTAGGACACTTAACCCATTTACATTCAAGGTTAGTATTGACATGTGTGGCTTTAATGCTGTCATTGTGTTATTAGGTTGTTATTATGCTGGTTTTTGTGTGGTTGCTTTATAGTGTCACTGGTCTGTGTACTTAAGTGTGTTTTTGTAGTGACTGATAACTAGTCTTTTCTTTCCATATTTAGTGCTTCTTTTAGGGGCTCTTGTAAGCCAGGTCTTGTGGTACCAGATTCTCTCAGTATTTGCTTGTCTATAAAGGATCTTATTTCTCCTTTGCTTATGAAGTTAGTTTGGCTGGATATGCAACTATTGGTTGGAATTTCTAAGAATGTTAACTATTGGTTGGAATTTCTAAGAATGTTGAATATAGGCCCCCAATATTTTCTGGCTTGTAGGTTTTGTGCTGAGAGGTCTGCTATTATTCTGATGGGCTTCCCTTTGTAGGTGACCAGTCCTTTCTCTCTAGCTGCCTTTAACATTTTTCTCTTTCATTTTGACCTTGGAGACTCTGATGATTATGTGTCTCGAGGATGATCTTCTTGTGAAGTGTTTTTTGGGGTTCTCTGCATTCCTGATTTTGAATGTTGGCCTCTCTAGCTAGATTGGGTAAATTTTCATAGATGATATCCTGAAAAATGTTTTCCAAGTTGCTTCCATTATCCCCGTCTCTTTCAGGGATGCCAATGCATTGTAGATTTGGCCTCTCTACATAATCCCATGTTTCTTGGAGGTTTGTTTGTTCCTTTTCATTCTCTCTTTCTTTTTATTCTTGTTCATCTTACTTTAAAAAGCCAGTCTTCAAGCTCTGAGTTTCTTTCCTCAGCTTTTTGTATTCTGCTTTTCATACTTATGAATGCATTATTAAATTATTTTAGTGTGGTTTCAGATCTATTAGGTTAGTTACATTCTTTTCTATACTGGCTATTTTGTCTGTCAGCTCCTGTACCATTTTATTGTGATTCTTAGTTTCCTTAGTTTGAATTTCAAGATTCTCCTTATTCTCAACAATCTTTGTTGTTATCCATATTCTGAATTCTCTTTCTGTCATTTGAGCCATCTCAGCTGAGTTAAGAACTCTTCTTGAAGAACTAGTATGATCATATGGAGGAAAGAAGACACTCTGGCTTTTGTAGTTGTCAGAGTTCTTGTGCTGTTTTTTCCTCATCTTTGTGCACTAATGTTCCTTCAGTCTTTGAAGTTGCTGTCCTTTGGATGGGCTTTCTTTTTCTTTTATCCTATTTGATGATATTAGGGGTTTGTTTGTGGTGTAAGATGGATTCAATCAACTGGCTTCATTTCTGGAATGTTTTAGAGGTCCAAGGCTCAGCTCAGGACCCCTGAACTTCATGCTCTAACTCTAGGGTTCTGGTATTGGGCCCTGGTTTTGTCCTTTGGCTTCTTGAGGTTAGGAAGGAAGCTGCTGCACTGGAGGGGCCATGGTACTCCAAGCTGGTCACAACAATCTAATGGTCACAACACTCTAATAGGTGGTGCCAGCCAAAGCACTTCATAGGGCAGTAGCAGCGGGATCCCTCCTGGTTCACATGTACCAGCAACAGTGACAGTGGCAGCATGTCAGGGTGCACACTCACGGGCTTTACCAGGGTGCTATATAATTAGGTTAGTTAAGTCTTCTTAACACACACTATCATGTGTGTGCACATGCACCCTTCCCTGTCACTGCTGCAAATGTGAGTGCACCACACCCCTACCCCTTGCTGAGCAGCCATTGTCACTGGAGCATTGGCAGGTACAGAGCACACTAGCCCTGGCTGGCGCCAAGCTGCCAGTCTTCATGTGGTTGTTTGCAGCAGTATGGTGAGATCATAGCTCAGGGGTGCAGGGCCTCTGCCAGTGTCTGTGCCCTCATTTGTGCCATTCATGGTGTTAGCATGGGGGCAGGTTACTGGCAGATGCAGGACTGTGTATGCCCTCTGCGAGAGTTCACACTGGTAGCCTTGGCTGCTTAGGACAGGGGTGGTTCTGCTTTTCTGCCTCTATAGTTTCTCTCTGGTGGCAGTGTCAGAACAGGGTAGTTGCAGGTGGGGGCAGGGCTAGTGTGCTCTGTGCCTGCCAATGCTCCAGTGACAATGGCTGCTCAGCAAGGGGTGGGGGCGTGGTGCACTCACATTTGCAGCAGTGACAGGGAAGGGTGCATGTGCACACACATGGTGGTGTGTAAGGGAAGGGAAGGTCCCCTGGTGCACACGTGCACCAGCAAAGTAATATTGACAGGGGAGGGCTGGCTGTGGGCTAGTGCATGCAGCAAAGTGACACAGGTGAGCCTATTGATGGGGGAGGGTGCAGGCGAGCTGGTGTGTTTCTGCAGGGGCTGCTCTGCTGGAGCACTCTGCCACTCAGGCATGGTCCACCATTGCAGAAGCTATGATCTGAGCCCCCAAGAAGTACCTGATACTTGGAGCCCTAGGGGAGGCCAGTAGACCAAGGGGTGCTCAAGTCAAAACAGCCCCATCTCATGGGCAAAACCACCCTACAGAGTTAAGGTCCAACAGTTCCCCTAGGGCTAAAGTCTCCTGTGGCAGCAAGTTGAGCCTAGCGGCATGGGTAACCCTGGCTGTGCTTCACTACAGATGTTCTAGAACCAAACTCTCTGGGCTTCACACCAGCAGGAGCTCTGCTTCTATCACTTCTCTAAGCAGGTCTTTCTATCAGTTCAAGTGCCCGTGGTGGTCCAGGGGTCTTATCCTGCTGAGATTCCAGAGGCCCATGGTGAAACTGGGCTGCTCCTTGCCTATTTAACCCATCACTTTGTAGGAGTCACTGGAGGCCAGGAATGAGCTCTAGTATTCCATAGCTCCATGCAGAGTTCCCATCTTCCTACCCCTTCAGCCCAGCTTCTGCTTCTTCTCTCCACCTACTTTCAATGCCTTGCCTCTGAAGAAAGGCTAGAAGTGTGCCAGCCTTTCCAATGTCCAGGTCTCTCAGTGGAAGATATTCCTCCTGGCTGTTTCTAGTTGACCATCTTTGAGGAGAAATCCCCTGATTGAAGACTTGTTTGCAGCAAAACCTATTTAATAACTCAAAACCTTGGGCTGTTGGGAATTTTAAATTCAGACATGCTTAATTGAGGCTTTAATTATGCCATTCAGTTCTGGTGCTTTGATACATTACAGCAGTATCATGGATACTGACCTCACCTTTGCTAACCGTGCACCTCAAAGCTCCTTGACTTAAATGATATTTGCATATCAAGCCCCTAAACTTAACATTGCCTTCATATTCCACATGTGGTTCAGCCTCGTTATAATACCACAGAGCCACAAAAATAAGACCCATATCAACTCAAGTTTGTGATCATTTGAAAAGGATGTCCCACATCACAGTTCCAGTTTTAGTCTCACATTATAAATGATATTGCTTTGGCCCAAGACTTTGACCTTGAAGATGACTTTGCCCTTTTCCCCAGAAATGACTTCATCCAGGACACTGAGACCACCACCCCAGCAACATCCATAGGCTGGCTTTCCTACGGATCTAAAAAACTGGACATAGGACATTTATCATTTTACTTCCTTTGATAAAGGAAATTCTGTTTCATTTCCTGAGTTCACCATTTGCTTAGCTTATACTCTTGTTCTCTGCCAAAATGTACCTCTTTATACTTCCATGTCTAAAGGAAAATCTGGTAGAGTGTACCACTCTTTGAGCCATTCTAATAATTAATGAGATTATTGCTTTCCCGAGGAAGCAACTGCCTCATATGGGTTCACCCCTTAACCCCCTGGAGAGAGGACCTCCCATTGCCCATTACCTCCTCTGACACTTTCCACTCCAGGTTGCCACTGCAACATCCTGTCCTGCATCCATGACCCACAGCTGCTACCTCTTCCCCCAGGTTACAAACGTCATTAATCTTTACATATACCTTACTTAACTAACTTCATACTCTCCAAAAATGTAATTGTTGGACCTGCCACCTTGAGCCCTGGAATGTACCAAGAGATTACTATCACACACACAAAAATATAGCTCATGTTTTAACATACTTTAACTCAATCAGTATATTGTTAGAGATCCTGGAAATCCTGGATCTGTTTTCTTGGCTAAGGCCATACAATGTGAAACTTGATTATGAACCAGTCTACAAGGACTCTTCATACTCCTACTTGTTTTCCTCCTTTTTAAGGAGAAAATAATAAAATGGGGTTTTTTTTTTTTTTTTTTGCATGCAATTTAGTGCAATGTATGCACTACTTACTAAAATCTTCTCTACAATTTAGGCCACTCAAATACTTCAAGTAATCAAGCTTAACACTAATGTGGAGATCAAGAAGTCAATTTTAATATAGTTTTCATGTAAAAAAAATACCTTCTAGTCCCAGTTTTGAGCCCCTAATAGTCAGTCAGCTCCCCTTCCTGAATATCTGATTTAAGTCCCTCCAACCACTTCCCTTATCTGGATCTCACACTGTTTGTCACTGTATACCTGCCCTACTTGCCCAGGGCCAAGTACCAGACAACTACAAACAGCCCCATGGACAGCTATGTCCCAGAGCTTCTGAAGTTATTCAAATTAGCTAATGCACAGGGTTCTCAGGGAACCTAATTCTGCTCCAGTTGCCGTATATAAGGTGCTCTCTACAGCTCCAGTGTGTTGTTACCCTGTCCCTGTGTGCAACCGCTCTGTGGCCCTACATGGAACTCTTCTCTTGTTTGGAGCTATAAGTAACAAAGAGGTTTGCCTTTCATCTATCCAAGAGTTTTCGTGTTGTGTCCTGTCATCAAAAGAATCTTTAATCTTATAAAACAGAAGGGTAGAATCTTTGCTTCTGTCCTAGTTTCCAATGGTTTCCTGGCAACCTTTGGTTTTTCCTTGGCTTGTAGAAGAAACATCACTCAGATCTCTGCCTTTATCTTCACGTGGTGTTCCTGTGTATGCGCCCAGTTTTCCTCGTTTTATAAGGGCACCATAAGAAGCTAAGAAGTACAAAGGAAGAAAAAAAGAAAAAACCAAAGACACCAGTCATATTGGATTAGGGACCAATCTATTTCAGCAAGGCCACATCTTAACTAATTATATCTCCAAAGACCCTATTTCCAAATAAGATCATCTTCTGAGGTACTGGGGATTAGAATTTCAACAAATAAATGTTGGGCGGGGGTTGCACTATTCAACCCATGACTGAAAGTACTTATTAAAGACACACATGTGACTATCTTATAACCCAACAATTTAATTCCTAGGTGTATATCCAAGAAAATGAATGTACACATAGACCAAAAATTATGTACAAAACAAGAATGTTCTTAGAAGCTTTATATTAGCCCCAAACTGGGACAATCTAAATCTATAGAGAAATGGATGAATAAATTGTGACATAGTTATTAAAAATTTACTATACAGCATTAAAAATTGAACTATGCAAAGAATTTCATGTATGTGAAGTTCAAAAACTGTCAGAATGAATTAGTGCTATTAGAAGTCTGAGTTGTGTTTATCTTTGGAGGAGAGGGTATTGGCAGAGAAGGAACAAAGGACACTTTGAATAATAAAAATTATCAACACCTTGGTTTTGGAAGTAATTAGATAAGTGCATATATATGTAGAAATTCATCAAGCTGTACACTCAAGGTTTGTTCATTTTACCATATTTAATTTATACTCTCAAAATACTACTTTTTAAATGAATTGTTATATGATTTATCTTCCTACTTCAATGCTGTGGGAGAAGCAATGAGTTGTAAGCATTGGCTTTTTTGCTTTATTACTCAGCAAACCTCGCTGACATTTCCCATCAGTGGCTTATCAGTCAAAAACGTATAAAATGAAAGCAAAAGTTAAAGATAAGCAAGATAATGAAGAAATACATTTTGCAATCCTGTTGAAGAGAGAATAAGCAAAAGTGACCAAGAGAAACAGATTCACTGAGTCTGTTGATTGATTTAAAGTGGATTTATGTTTAAGTAGAAAACCACTCCAAATGCATACTTTAGGAAAGATGTCAGCTTCAAGATTACTGATCTCCATCATTATCATGGTGTCTGGTAAGTCTGATACTGTGACATTTTCAGCTGAAAATAAAGCTTTCTTTCAATGATTATGAGGATAATCTTGATCTGCTTACTTATAAGGTGTTTCTTGACTTGTCCTAGCAGCGGTGATAAATGTGTACATTATCCAGCAAAACTCCTTCTGAGTTACCTTATCTCAATGGTGTACTGACTAGGTGACTAGCTGAATTCAGAGTAATTGAGGGCTGGGATTGAAGTGAAACTAAAATTTTGTGACCTAAAAGTGGTCCTGGGCTTCTTTTGTTGGTAGATTTTTAAAATTACTGATTCAATTTGATAACTTATTAGTTTGCTTAGGATTTCAATTTCTCCTGATTCAATCTTGGGAGGTTGCATATTTTCAGGAATTCATCAATCTCTTCTAGATTTTTCTAGTTTGTGTTTATGGAGGTGTTTATAATAGTCTCCGAGGATCTTTTGTATTTCTATGAGATCAATTGTAATGTCACCTGTGTAATATCTGATTGTACTTATTTGGACCTCCTCTCTTTTTTTTTCTTTATTAATCCAGCTAGTACTCTATTGATCTTGTTTGTCTTTTCAAGGAGTCACCTTTTGGTTTTGTTGATCCTTTGTATAGATTTTTGGATCTCCATTTCATTCAGTTCTGCTCTGATTTTAGTCATGTATTTTCTTCTGCTGGCTTTGGGGTTAGTTTATTCTTGTTTTTCTAATTCTTTTCCATCTTCTTCTTCTGCTTTTTTTTTTTTTTTTTTCTTTGAGATGGAGTTTAGCTCTTATTGCCCAGGCTGGAGTGCAGTGGTGCCTTCTTGGCTCACTGCAACCTCTGCCTCCTGGGTTCAAGAGATTCTCCTGCCTCAGCCTCCTGAGTAGCTGGGACTACAGGTACCCACCACCACGTCTGGCTAATTTTTGTATTATTAGTAGAGTCAGGGTTTTACCATGCTGGCCAGGCTGGTCTCGAACTCCTGACCTTGTGATCCACCTGCCTAAGCCTCCCAAAGTGCTGGGATTACAGGCGTGAGCCATGGTACCTGGCCTTTTCTAGTTCTTCTAAGTGTGATGTTAGATTGTTAATATGAGATCTTTCTAACTTCTTGATGTAGGTGTTTAGCACTATAAACTTTTAACACTGTTTGTGCTGCATCTTAGGGTTTTTTTAATGTCATGTCTCTGTTTTAATTAATTTTAAACATTTTTTAATTTCTTCCTTAATTTTATTGTCTACCCAAAACTTATTGAGGATCAAGTTGTTTAATTTGCATGTATTTGTAGAGTTTTCAGAGACATGCTTGATATTGATTTCTATTTTTATTCCACTGTGGTCTGAGAGTATGGTTGGCATGATTTTGACATTTTCTAATTTATTGACACTTGTTTTATGGTTGAGCATGTGTCTGACCTCAGAGTATGTTCCATATGTAGATGAGAAAAATGGATATTCTGTGGTCTTTGGGTGGAGTAGTCTGTAGATGTCTGTTAGTCCCAATTGATCAAATATTACATTTAAGACCAGAATTCTTTTCTTAGTTTTCTGCCTTGATGATCTAACGCTGTTGGTGGGATATTGAAGTCTCCAACCATTATTAAATGGCTAAGTCTTTCCATAGGATTAGAAGTACTTTTTTTTTTTTTTTTTTTTATTCTGAGTGTCCAATGTCGGGCATGTATATATTTAGGATAGTTAACTCTTTTTTTGATTTGAAACCTTTATCATTGTGTAATGCTCCTCTTTGTCCTTTTTTTTTTTTTTTTTTTTTTTTTTTTTGCTGTTGTTGGTTTACATTCTATTTTGTCTGATATAAGAATAGTGACCCCTGCTCTTTTTTGTTTTCCATTTGTGTGATAGATCTTTTTCCAACCCTTTACTTTTAGCCTGTGTGTTTTGTTACATGTGAGATGGTTCTCTGGAAGCCAGCAGATGGTTATGTCTCGTTCTTTTATCCAACTTGCCACTCTGTGCCTTTCAAGGGGCACATTTAGGTTATTTAATTCCAGATTAATATTGATATATGAAGTTTTGACCCTGTTGTGATGCTGTTAGCTAGTTGCTTTGTAGTCTTGATTGTGTAGTTTCTTTATAGGGCTATACACTTAAGTGTGTCTTTGTAGTAACAGGTATTGTTCTTAAATTTCCATGTTTAGAACTCCCTTAGGGATCTCTGGTAAGGTTGGCCTTGTGGCAGTGAATTCTCTTAGTGTTTGCTTGCTTAGGAAAGATTATATTTCTCTTTGCTTATGAAGCTTAATTGGAGAGTATGAAATTCTTAGTTGGAATTTCTTTTCTCTAAGGATACTGAAAATAGACCCCAATCTCTTCTGGCTTATAAACTTTCTGCTGAGATGTCTGCTTTTAATCTGATGGGGTTCCTTTGTAAGTGAGCTGGCCCTTTTCTCCAGCTGCTTTTAAGATTTTTTTATTTCACATCGACCTTGGAAAGTCTAATGACTATGTGTCTTGGGGATGGTCATCTTGCGTAGCATCTTGCAGTTGTCTGAATTTCTCAAATTTGCATGTTGGCCTCTTTAGTGAGATTGGGTAAATTTTTGTTGACTATATCCTCAAATACGTTTTCTAAGTTGCTTACTCTCTCTTCCTGTCTAGGGCAAAGTTTAGGTTACCAGGAGGCCCACAACTCCTTGGGGACCTGCTGGTCCTCTAAGCTTGGCAGAGTCACAGCAGGTTGTGGGGTATGTCTGTGGGTGTTCTGGCAATGCAGTGGGTAAAGAGATGAGTATCCCTGGGCAAGACTCTTGCTGCAAGTGTGCACTGGTGTATTGGGGGAACCCACCTCCAGTATTTCAACGTAGGTTATTTCTATTTTCCATAAGTGTCGGCCAGCTGAGAAATAAAGAGAGACAGTACAAAGAGAGGAATTTTACAGCTGGGCCACCAGGGGTGACATCACATGTTGGTAGGACTGTGATGCCCACCTGGGCCTCAAAACCAGCAAGTTTTTATTAAGGGTTTCAAAAGGGGAGGGGGTGTAAAAACAGGGAGTAAGTACAAAGATCACATGCTTCAAAGGGCAAAAAGCAGAACTACTAATAAGGGTCTAACAAAGATCTCATGCTTCTGAGGAAACAGGACAAAAGGCAAAAGCAGAACTACTGATAAGGGTCTATGTTCTGCGGTGCATGTATTGTCTTGATAAACATCTTAAACAACAGAAAACAGGGTCTGAGAGCAGAGAACCAGTCTGACCACAAATTTAGCAGGGCAGAGTTTTTCCCCACCCTAGTAAGACTGAGGGTACTGCAGGAGACCAGGGCATATCTCAGTCCTTATCTCAACCACATAAGACAGACATTCCCAGAGCAGCCATTTGTAGACCTCCCTTCAGGAATGCATTCCTTTTCCAGGGTATTAATATTAATATTCCTTGCTAGGAAAATAATTTAGTGATATCTCTCCTAGTTGCACATCCATTTATAGACTCTCTGCAGGAAGGAAAATATGGCTCTTTTTGCCCGACCCTGCAGGTAGTCAGACCTTGTGGTTGTCTTCCTTTGTTCCCTAAAAATCGCTGTGATTCTGTTGCTTTTCAAGGTGCACCGATTTCATATTGTTCAAATACACATGTTTTACAATCAATTTGTACAGTTAACACAATTATCACAGTGGTCCTGAGGTGATGTACATCCTCAGCTTTTTTTTTTTTTTTAACAGAGTCTCGCTCTGTCGCCCAGGCTGGAGTGCAGTGGCCGGATCTCAGCTCACTGCAAGCTCCACCTCCCGGGTTTACGCCATTCTCCCGCCTCAGCCTCCGAGTAGCTGGGACTACAGGCGCCGCCACCTTGCCCGGCTAGTTTTTTGTATTTTTTAGTAGAGACGGGGTTTCACTGTGTTAGCCAGGATGGTCTCGATTTCCTGACCTCGTGATCGGCCTGTCTCGGCCTCCCAAAGTGCTGGGATTACAGGCTTGAGCCACCGCGCCCGGCCACATCCTCAGCTTATGAGGATAACAGGATTAAGAGATTAACGTAAAGACAGGCATAAGAAATTATAAAAGTATTATTTGGGAACTGATAAATGTCCATGAAATCTTCACAATTTACGTTCCTCTTCCACAGCTCCAGCCAGTCCCTCCATTTGGGGTCCCTGACTTCCCGCAACACTGGTGTGGTGCCTGTAGCCTGGATTCTTTGCCCAGAACATGGTTGTGAAGACCACCCAGCTTGTGCTCTCCTGACCAGTTTTCCCTGTGGTGTCAGTCCCAGGAGCAGGCCCAACCAGCTAGTTTTGTCCCAAGCCTTTTGTGTACAGATCACTGAGGTGTTCCAGATGTTGTGGGCTGTGGAGATCCCTTGGGCAGAAGCTGCAGATGGCCAATAGGCTAAACCCTTATTCGATCAGTCTCACAGATAAAGGGACGCCCAACTACCATGCCAAAACACAAACCTACTCCTCACTCTTCTCAGTGTTCTGTGAGTGGGGGCTCCTCCCTAGCTTGAACTTAGGCCGCAGATCTCATCTTGATACCTCTGGGTGGTGTGCTTGAACCCTGGACTTTGGGATCGAGTGCATGGTTTTATCCTCTGACACCTCAATATTGAGCACCAGGTGTGCTGGGGAGGCCAAACTGCTCCCAGGCCACTGCAAAACACTCAGGTGGGGAAATGGAGGCTGTGCTGTGTGCACCCTATTTCAGGAGTGGCCAGGCATGGGCCTTGGGTGGGGTTGGTGGACAAGGGTAGATTAGATACACCCTAGTCCTGTGGGAAAGGCAGCCCTTCCTTCTGCCAGCCTGGCAGTCAGCAAGGACTAGAATCACTCATAAAAAGATGGCAAACCTTGGTGATGGCCGTATATGGTTGTGTTTTGCTGCACCTGCCCCACATGAGAAATCTTCTAGGTGCCACACAGGTTTGAGCTGTGCCTCTGCCTATTCTTTGGGCATTAAGTAACCATGTATTAGTTCATTCTCACGTTGCTATAAAGAACTACCCAAGAATGGGTAATTTATAAAGAAAAGAGGTTTAATTGACTCACTGTTCCACAGGCAGCATGA